TAAGATAAAATAAGATATATCGATTCTAATATATATACACAAATATGTTAATCCCTTTTTATAAGCTGAAAGAGAGGGCCAGTCATAAACAAAATTCGGGAACACATTGGAACAATTTTACAATTTCAGGGGTAAATCGATGTAATCGAGTAAAAGATGGTAAAGTGCTCCCGGCCTGAGTACCGGAGGGAAGCATTTAGCCAAGCAAAAATCGCGAAATAAATTTTGAGGGGGGCCCATAACCACCCCTGGTCCTACACTGGCTTCCCACTGAATATAAGTGATGTCAATTTTGTTAATTATCAAACTCCAGTTAGTTGAGAACATATATGTTATCTTTATATATCAAGGTTTTGTCCCGAAACCTTAGACCTATTTTTGTGAAATATTTGTAACCCTAGGGGTATTTCAGTATTCCTATCCGTTTATTTCGAAGTTAATTGTTTTTTCAAATTTTTTTCCTTTTCTCATCCGGCCGTTTGAGGAGGAAACCGTCTGTTGAGAGCCTAAATCACGCTCCTTTTTCTATTTCTTCTTTTGAAAGCCCAACTTTCCACCTCCTATGCAAAACCGTCTCAAGAATATACTGCCCATGTACATGACTGGTATAAAAAAAATAAAATTCCACACGTTTCCAATAAATAATTAATCCTCAAGTTGAGGATTAATTAAATAAATATTTATTTGGTAAATTGCATGTAAGCAATCATTTTGCTTAATCCATACTCAATGTAAATGAAAAGGCACCCTTCATCTTTTTTCTTCTTCCACATAATCTCTAACTTGTCTTCATCTCCCATCACCACCATCTCCACCATCGGCCTCCTCCTCCTTCCACCTCAACTCTCATTTTCAAAGAAATCTCAAAATCAAGATGAAAGTCTCCTATTTAACTCTAGCCTTAGAATACACAAAGGACACCATCAAAACCTCTTGTCTTCTCACGAAAAAAAAAAACAACACCTCTCTCCTAGAAGCTCATACCCTCTCTTTCACCATCAAGGTTGCTTGTCTCGATTTTGGTATTTGAAGCACTCTCCCTTCAGTTGTTTTTCTTTTCTTCGGCTAATAGGTACGAAATCTCGATTTCTTGTTGCAATTAAAGGGTGTCAATATTATAAAAAGAGTTTTCAAAATTTCCTAAAAGACTTGCAAGAATTTCGAAAATTTAGGGCTAGTTGGGGAAAAATGAAAAAAAAAATATGTTGATTATTAATTTCTTGTTCTCGTATGCATTATTTATGTTGGTAGTGGGTAGATACAAGTTTTATTGGCCAAGAGCTTAAAGAGTTTTGGATGTTAAAAAAGGTGTTGCAAGAAAAATCAATTTTTGAATTTTTATGGGGTTGCATGCATAGATCTACAGATTTTTGGGCCAAATCCGTAATTTTCAAGAAGTCAATCCTAAATATGTTTTCAACTCTGTTATTCAGTAATTATTGAGAATAAAATTAAGATTTAAAAAGTGTTGTACAAGAAAATTGGATTTTTCACTTCTAGTGGTCTCGCATGTATACATAAAATTTTAGATTGTTAGATGATTTACATAGTAATTATTGGATTTTACATCTACATATTTTGGGGTAAAATATATGGGGATGTTTGGTTATGTTTCCAAAATGAATTTCTAGTTTTCAAAATTTCTGATGGAAAAAATAGATTATTGGTTTTTGTGGAGAAAATGGGAATATGCATGTTTGGATGAAGGTGTATTTTTAGTTTTATGTAGGTGTAGAAATGAGAATATGTTTGGGTGTAGTGAATTTTCTCTACGAAAGTACGTGCAAAAGTAGAATATAATGATTGATGATGATGATAGTGATGATGATGATGATGATGATGATGATTATTATGATGATGATGATGATAATAATAATAATAATAATAATAATAATAATGATAATAATAATAATAATAATAAG